TACCTCCACCATGGCGCAACATTTCGTGCCTGGCGAAGCATCCTCAAGTCAGGGATTACTCCAGGCTATATCGATCCGTCTTCTCAGAGAGACACATACCTTCGAGGATCACCACGCACGGAGGCATTCTTCAGTGCCAGCACCTACATAGACAACGTTCAAAAGAATCCTCACACCTCGGTACAATCGTACAAGTTCGAGCACTACAAGAACGAGGTAGAGCTGGTGATCAACATGGAGATTGCCACGAAGGCTGGATGCAGATTTTGGCTGGGAGCACAAGGTGCTATCATGACAGAGGACGTGGTTCCAGCCGCCGCAGTCATCGCCATTCGCCGTCTCACACCACGCAGTGAGCATGGCAGGCAGATCTGGCCGGAGGGCACTACTGGGGTTTACCCGCCACTGGCTGCGAGACAACCATTGAGCAAATACGAGATTTGCGCTGTCCCCCCTGGGACAGACACAATCGATTACCCTCCTGGGATTGCCCCAACTGGCATGGCATACGACACGGCTCAGCAGCCAAAGACACAGTCCGCCTCAGCATCATCGGCCCAGCGGCCAATCGCCCTTCAGCTGGGGGCGACCCCCGCTGGCCACACATCTGACGCCGACGCTTTGGATGAGACGATGGTCCGTGCTATGGTCAACAGTTGTGGGCGCAACACACAGGATAAATAATGGTTGATAGCTATATCACATTGCCGAGAGGCCCTGCGACCCATTACATCAAAGACCACGCAGAAAGATTCAAGTCGCCGGCCTATCTTCAATGATGTTCGCATGGGGGACTTCACTATCGTCAAAAATTGGGGCTCTACCAATTGCTACCACTATGACAATCACTTCCCCAAGGGCAACCACAACACCAAGGTGCGCATGAGCAAGGGCCATATTTATGGACCAATCATTCATTTCGGAGTCTACGAGAAATTCTTTGCGGTACAAATACCTATTCTCAACGACGGTCTACGATGGGCAAACATATGGTATTGCGACAAAAACATGCCCCTCAAGGGCGTTGTCTTCGCTTTGCCAGTACGTGCCGACATCGACCCAAGTCGCATGAATGTTGCACTTGAGGGCCCCTCTTCATGCAGCGACCAGATCTATAAGTATAAAGAATCAGGTGCTTTTACCATATCTTGGAATGCCGAGCATTTACAAACCACGTATCCCACGTACGCCGACCAGACGCGCCGCTCCTCGGACACCCGATCCCGACGAGCTGGTGGCAACACCTGCCGAGGATCCCACAGCAGACGACGATGGATCCCGACAAGAGGCAGGCCAATCCAAAGAGCCTCTGGTAACTGTCATTGTGGATATATCGACCATAACACTCACATATGAACAGAAAGCAGCCAATGATACCATGAAGGCAGATCGGCAGAAATTCACGCTGATGAGGACATCGGCTCGAGCATCCTTGATTATATTATCGACCGCCAGAGGAATTCCGCAACCACCCCAACTACGAGCCAGAGGAAGGTATACAAGATGGATCTTGCAATCTTACGACCACCGCATATACCGCTGGACGTCGGAGTTGTTGGTGGATTCACCAATGATAAAGGTGACGCAAATTATTGAGGTACACGCTGGCAGGGCCAATATTGTGGCGGACAAGATAGAGTCAGACTTACGATTTGGGATACAATTTGGACCAAAAACAGACGCACACCACATGGATTACAATCGTACCCACAAATGGGCACGCGACTTACCGATTTGCAGTGCAGATTGTTTCTTCAAAAGGATGGTGCACTACCTGGATCCAGAAGTCATCGAGGAGTCGACCACAGGCATCTTTCATTGGATTTCCAAAGTGTACCAAATCATATTGTTGGACGGCATCAAGGAGCTACGTGATTTCACAAATGCTGCTATCCATCAGAACCATCCCGCCTCAACACGTTGCGCGACCTCTTCACAAAGTGCATCCAGACACACGGCAATCCAGACTTCCCCGTATGGCGGGAGCCGGTGGAGACACCTGCCGCGCCTGATCAGGACGATCCAGGCGCCGAGCAGGATATCCCCAGGGACCCAGGCAGCGTTGCTTCCGCAGCTCCAGACCAAGAAACCATGGTACAGATCATAGCCGATAAAAAGAAGATTGACCGCAAGGTGGGCGACAATGAGGCCATCTTGCAGGCAGAGGCTACCCGCATCCGGACGGACAACATACACCATGGTGCTACTGATACTGCGGACACCGATACCTCCGGGTACGCAGGACTACTGGGGGAAAGACTGTCTAGGGTCGAGATCGAGGGGATCGGCCGATCGATCGCCTCGCGCCCGACCGCTGAGATCAATCGTGATGCCATGGACCAGATCGGCCGTGTTCTCGCCAGCGGCCTTGACACCCGCTGGGGATCTCGTGGGCACCTTGCGATCTCCGGGGCCCCTGAAGAGATCCAGCATGATATTGCGCGATGTCGGAATTGCGATCGTCTCTTATCTCTCGGAATCGTCACAGGTGGCGGTGCAATTTGTGACATCTGCTGGCAGTACACTGTCGCTGTAGGTGCTACCGGCAAAGGTGGCGCCGCGGAGAGCGACCTGGCATACCTCCAGAAGTTGACCCACTGGATCAAGACGGCCCTCTCCCAGGACGACATCACAAAGTCTATGACATATGGAGCGCATGTCCAGATGATGGGCAAGCGCTCCGCACCTGGTCAGGAAAAGGATACCTCGAGGAGATTCGCGACGAAAGCTGCGAAGAGGCATCAGAAGTGGGTCGGCGCAGGCTCCCCTCCTGCACACATGTGCAGGCTGATGGGCGAGACTGAGGACGACAGACCTCTATGCCACCCTTTCGCCAATCTCGTTCAGCGTTTCCTGGGCGATGTGCGGTTCCACCGCCAAATGACAGCCGCTCGTGCCAATAAAGGCATAAAGGCTTACACCGTCGAAGACATGCGTGATGCTGGTGATATTCACGATCGCAGCGTCAGGCAGGGCTTCGCTGGTCGGAAGAAATGGTGGTTGAACACAGGTAGACTCGATAGAGGCACTAGGCAAGAGCGTGGACTTATCACAATTGCCCTTCCCCGCGGGGAGGGCACTTGCGAGAAAGTCACGCAGCGGAAGCTTGCCGTGCTTGCTTCCATCGATCGCGCCATGGGTTCTGCAAATCAGAGGGGGGTTAGTTCAGGGATTAGAACCGATCCGATCGATCCTACTAATACACACTCTTCACATTTCCATGGCGCCATGGAGCCGCGGCAGCCGCTGCACCCGCCGCCGCCGCGCCCTGCTCCTGGCGACGCTGCTGGATCCAGCGCCTCTGGCGCGCAGGATGACACGCCCGCTGGGCCGCGCAGTGCCGCCGCACAGCGGCAGAGCAGCGATGCCAGCCGCAGGCCAACGACGCCCCCCCGCGCCAAGAGGGCGCGCAGGACAGAAGACTACGCGATGTGGCGGCGCAAAAACCTAGAGGAAAGCCAGTGGGGCCCCAGGTGCTGGGGCTACTATGCCAAGTGCTGGATATACATCGCGGACAACAGCGATGAGTTCGTGTACGTCAGCGACTTGCAGCACAACGATAGGCTTCGCCACTGGACCCCGAGGACGCCCTGGGAGACCTTCACGACGAGCTACATCGCGGAGGACGGCCACAGGGTGTGGGACCAGAGGTCCTACGCGAGGGGCAACGCGTAGACTTGTCGGCCGCAAGGCCCACCGCTCGACTGGCTTGAACTTCTTCTTTGTGCATGTTCGCCCCGAGCGGTGAATGACAACATAATCTTAGGCCGCTTCACTATCCAAGAAAAGTGGCCACACCTATACTTGTGAAACCCAAGGCAGCCTCCTAAGGAGCAACGCCGAGGGGAGTGACCAAACGCAGAATTTATGCATGCAGCTTTTCGTGTTTATCAACGCGACTTTGCGCCTGGTCAGACATTTGCGTTTCTGTTTAGACGTGTTCCTTAACGCGATCGTGTTCCTCAACGCGACTTCCTAATGCACATTTTCTTTTTGCTTATTCTTGTAATCTAATTACATTGCGTTGATAATGGTCTGATGCCCAGCTCTCGCTTGAGAGCTGGTGGCAACACCTGCCGCGCTTAGGCGCGGCAGCTTCTGATGTTGCTTTAATTTGATTAGATCCTCTTGCTCCGCCCACCCGTGTCTCGTTCTTCTCCGCCCTCGAGTGCCGAAGCGTTTTTGGGGGGCGCACCGAGGGGGCACCAAAGTGTGCTTGGCGAAGAAACAGGGACCCTGGGTGTTCCTGCATCCCTTTTCTTGCCTAATCGTGACAGCCTTGTGCTCGGTTTGCTTTTGCACACCGCTGTCGCGATTGGGGCGCAGCTGATGCGATGCAGATTTCACGCTCAGCTGCCTTGCAGACCTAAGGATTTGAGGAGTAAAAGGGTGACGGGATCTTTTCTCCTGTTCCCGAGTCCTGCCCTCACGGGCGGGATTCGGGACGGGGTGTGTGACTAGAACCCGTATAATACCCTCATATATACTCCTTATCCTCGCCTCTCCTGCGCTTGGCCGTTTGGGCTCAGGTATTGGACTAGATCGATCAGACCTTTGATCGTGCAGGAGGAAAAGATATCCATCTTTCCCTCCTTTCCTCTACCAACGGATCAGGGGTTCTGTACCTTTGTACTCTAACCCCGTACACATAAGGGCGCCCTCGGATACTTGTACATGCGAGAGGAAAAAGGGTACATTATCTCTCTGTTCGGTGCCTATCTCGTTCGTTTTGGACTCGCACCGCCTCCTCGCCCTCCCTCCTCCTCCTCCTCCTCCTCCTCCTCCTCCTCCTCCTCCTCCTCCTCCTCCTCCTCCTCCTCCTCCTCCTCCTCCTCCTCCTCCTCCTCCTCCTCCTCCTCCTCTCTCCTCCTCCTCCTCCTCCTCCTCCTCCTCCTCCTCCTCCTCCTCTTCCTCCTCCTCCCCCTCCTCCGGCCCTGCTCCTCCCCCCCACTCCGCGCCCCTCCCCTCGCATCCGCTCCTGCCCCCCGCTCCGGGCGGAGGTCGACGAGTCCGCGGGCGCCTGCGACAGGCAGCGCAGGGAGCTCGTGGGCCGCCTGCGGGACACGACGAACGACTACCAGGACGGAGGAGGAGGAGGAGGAGGAGGAGGAGGAGGAGGACGAGGAGGAGGAGGAGGAGGAGGAGGAGGAGGAGGAGGAGGACGGGGATGAGGACGAGGAGGAGGACGAGAGGGACACGGAGGAGGAGGAGGAGGAGGAGGAGGAGGAGGAGGAGGACGAGAAGGGACACGGAGCAGGAGGAGGAGGAGGACGAGGAGGGTCACGGAGGATTGCCAGGACAAGGGGGAGGACGAGGAGGACCAGGACACGACAAGCAGCGCAGGGAGCTCATGGGACGCCTGCGGGACACGGGGGGTGGAGGCGGGAGGCGGGGAGGCCAGGCGAGGGGAGGAAGGTATAGCTGAGGTTCGGGGGAGAGGGGGCGCGAAATGGGGGCGGCCAGGCGGGGCAACGAGGAGAGGGGGAGGGCAGGGGGGAAGGAGAAGCTAGGTGCGCTCGCGTCGAATCTGACGTCCTACCCCTCCCTCCCATCCCCAAGCATGGCGTAAATCCCCTCTCTATCCGCACAGTCGGATGTCGAGCAAGGCAAGGATCCCGAGAGGGGGGGCGCGATGCATCGTAGAGCGTAGAGCACGGCGTAGCAGGGCGTAGAAGATCACGGCAGGGCGTAGTATGTCATACCATGGCGTGGCGTTCCGTAGTGAGTAATTGCATCACAAAGCATTGTAACGCAAGGAACGGCATCGCACAGCGGCACAGAACATACCATGGCATCGCATGGCGTTGAATATCGAAGTCTAGCATTGTATAGCATGGCGTGGCACTGCGTAGTCAAGCACTGAATATCCTAGCATTGCAGCTGAAGGCATGGCATCACACAGCGGAACATCACATAGCATTTCATTGCATGCCGTGGCATAGCATTGGAAGTAATGACGCCAGCACTGCAGCGGGAGCACGATTCGGAACGAGCGGAAGCGCGGAAGTGAGGCTAGCGCTGCAGCGGGAGCGCGATTCGGAACGAGCGGAAGCGCGGAAATGAGGCCAGCGCTGCAGCGGGAACACGATTCGGAACGAGCGGAAGCTCGAAAATGAGGCCAGCGCATCAGCGGGAACAGCATTTTGAACACAAGCCCAAGCGAAAACCTAACTCCTAGGAATCCTGTGTGTAAAAACAATGCGCGGAGGGGGGCCGAACGTCTTCGGGACGTCATCAGGGGAGAGAGGAGAGTAGAATTCAGAATGTGTAAGTGCACAGGCGGAGGAGGGGGAGGAGGAGGAGGCCTCTTGCGGGCCTCTTCGGCCTCCTGGGGCCTCCCAGATCCTAGGGGCCTCTGAGGGACCTCTTGGGGCCATCTTGGGCCGACTCGGGGCCATCTTGGGCCTCCTTGGCCGTCTTGGAGGGCATCTTGGACCGTCTCGCTGGCCAGGTGGGGCCGTCGTGGCCGACTTGAATGCCATCTTAGTCATCTTTGAGCGCATCTTGGACAGTCTTGGAGGTTTCCTTGGACATCTCCAGGGACATCTTAGGGCCCTCGGCGAGTCTTTGGGCCCTTCTGGGCCGTGGGGGCGATCTAGGGGGTCTCCGGGGCCGCCTTCTGCGTGGGAGAAACAGGGAACGAAAGAAGGCGAAAAGTATTGAACACATACGGTTTTGTCAAAACGATTGGGCCATCTGGGTCCTCTTGGAACCATCTTCACCAGAGAAGCCTACGGGATAGGCAGTTGGCGGGTTGGACCAAAAGCCACCGTGAGTTTTATGACGGGGCTAAAACAAAAGCATTCGCCGGCCCCCGCAGCCTGCTGGAGGGGTGCTTGGCGTGCCAGTTTTACTTGTTGTTTGGCCCTTCCAACAGCTTCCCAGCGGCCTCTGTAAAAGCCGCCAGCTGCCTTTCCCATGGACTTTTTCGTCCACGGTGGTTCCAAGATGGCCAAGATGACAAACGACGGATGCCGCGACGGCCCTTGGACCCCCCAAGAAGATGGCCAATAGGACCTCAAGAGAGTCTAACATTGGCCCCAACATGCTTCCACGACGGCCCAAGATAGCCGATAGCCCAACATGACCCCAAGACGGCCCACGAGAGTCCCAAAACGACCTAAAGGACCCTCGGAGGTCTCCAATGACGGTCTCTCCGAGAGTGCCAGACGGCCCGCGACGGCCGCCCGAGGCGGCCCAAGAGAGCACCAAGGTGGCACAAGAGAGCCCCAGGACGATCTCTTGGGTTGCAGAGGGTTCCGAACCCGTTGTGGTCGTTTCTGGAAAGGCCCTGGGGTCGGCGTCGCCCCAACATATGAATACTATGTTCGGGGGTGGACAGAACCCCCAACAGTGACACGTCGATGAGTGAATTGTGCGTTTTCGGTTCTCGAGATGGCGCCGTGGCCGTTATTGCAGTGGCCTCCAGCCAGTGCCGCCGATCCGGGGCGCTCCGGGTGCCTGTGGAAATGAACGACGACGAGGAAGACGAAAACGACGACGAAAACGAATACGTCGACGACGACGACGACGACGAGAGCGACGACGACAACGACCACGACGACGACGACGACGACGGCGATGACGACGACGACGCGAGCGACGACGACGACGACACGATGACGCGAGCGACGACGACGACGACGACGACGACGACGACGACGACGACGCGACGACGACGACGACGACGACGACGACGACGACGACGACGACGACGACGACGACGACGACGACGACGACGACGACGACGACGACGACGACGACGACGACGACGACGACGACGACGACGACGACGACGACGACGACGACGACGACGGGGGGGAGCTGGGTTGCAGGGGGGGGGTCTGCTCTGCAGGGGGGGTCCGCTCGGCAGAGGGAGGGACTGCAGGGGAGAGGGGGGGGTCCGCTCTGCAGGGGGGGGGGGGGGGCCAGGCAGGAGGGGCTCTGCTCTGCAAGGATGGGGGGGGGGGGGGCAGGGGAGGTGGGGGGGGTCCGCTCTTGCAGTGGGTCGGTGGCAGCACGGGGCGGGGTCCGCTCTGCAGGTGGGTGGGGGCTTGGGCTGCAGGGGGGGGGGGGGGGGGGATACCGCTCCAGGGGGGGTGGGGGGGTCGCTCTGCAGGGGAGGGGGAGCAGGAGGGTGGGTCTGCTCTGCAGGGGGAGGGGGTGCAGGGAGGGGGGGGGGGGGGTCCGCTTCTGCCAGTGTGGGGAAGGAGGCTGCAGGGTGGGAGGTTCGCTCGGCAGGGGGGGGTCTGCTCAGCTTTGCAGGGAAGGGGGTGCATGGGTGAGGGGGGTGTGTCCGCTCTGATGGGGGGGTGTGGGGGGGGGGGGGGGATGCAGGGGGGGGGGGTGGTTCCGCTCTGCAGGGGGGGGGGGGGGGGTGGGGGGTGCTGGGCTGCAGTGGGGGGGGGGGGCTCTGTAAGTTGGGGGGGGGGATCCACTCTGGAGGAGGGGGGGGGGATCCACTCTGGAGGAGGGGGTGGGGCGAAGCACTGAATTAGGTCGGAAATAGGTCGGAAATAGGTCGGAAATGAGGTCCCCCCCCTCGGCAGAGCGAAGCTTGAGCGAGCTCAAGCCCACGCTCTCAGAAACTCACACGCCGCATCGGCGGATTTTCCAGGCTTGCGCCCGCCAGGTTTGGGCCTCCGGTCGTTACCACGTTTTACTAAGGGGGGTCTGTCCATACCCGATCTGTGTGATCGCCCCTCCGCGGGCGACGCGCGCACCGAGGAAGCTTACAGCATGTGCGTCGTGGCGGGCGTTTTCTGGCCACACCGTGCGGGGGGGGAGAACGACCATCACTGCTACAATCAAGCAGCGGCGAAGCGTCCTGGCTCGCCTATAGCCCCACCAAGCAATGTTCTAAAAACCGTTTGTGGTTTCCAAGAAATGTTTTTAGAACAAGTTTGGCGGAGTCTGTCTTGTTTTATCACATCGGGTTATGTTCTAAGAACATTGTTTGTGTTCTCAGAACATTTTTGGGTTCTAGGAACATTTCGTGGTATGACTACAGGAATGCCGGGACGGTCGGCCCCTGCTCAATACAAGGTGGGACTACTACATGTTCGGTTCGGACGCGCGCCTTCAAGGAGGGCACCTGGTACTAGTATGTCTCCATGCGTCCCATGGAGGAACGTTGAAGATAGCTCAGGCTGGCTCGGCTTCCGCAGGCCCACGGGGGGACGCGCCAGAAGCGCCCAGGACCCCCCTGGGGACGCCCAGCAATTGTGCGGCCCTTACGAATCGAAGAACCCCTTTCATGTTCACATCTGTGCGAGCCTTTGGGCATTCACTGGATGCTGAAGTCACGGTGCCGGATTTGCCTGGTGCCCTCCGCGTCTTCTTTTCATGCTCCGCCTATGCCTTCCTCGTCCTGCTCGTCCGCCTCTTCTACCCTGTGCCATTGCGAGTGCCTTCGCTGTTCGTTTGCATCCGTTGGTCGTCTTGCCAGCTTTGGTTCGACGCTGTTGCGCTTTTTGATCCAGATATGTTTGGCACGCACCACACAGACAGGAGACTCGACCTCCACGAACTACGGCGACCTTGGGATCGACGAGCAATCCCCCCGCCGGTTATGAGCTGAGTGCTTCAAGAGATGCCAGTCTCGGAGGCTTCGGCCTCACATCGTCAGTACGATGTAGACCACGGCAGAAAGCCTCAATGATTGCATCTAGCGCACCTTCCCCCCCCTCGGCCTCCCCCTGCCCTCCCTTCCCCTCCGCCCTCGGCCCTCCTCCGCCTCCTTCTGTTACTCCTCCTCCTCCTCCTCCTCCTGCTCCCTCCTCCTCCTCCTCCTCCTCCTCCTCCTCCTCCCTCCCTCCCTCCTCCCTCCCTCCCTCCCTCTCCTCCCTCCCTCCCTCCCTCCCTCCCTCCTCCCTCCTCCTCCTCCTCCCTCTCCTCCTCCTCCCCCTCCTCCCTCCTCCCTCCCTCCTCCCTCCTCCTCCCTCCTCCCTCCTCCCTCCTCCTCCTCCTCCTCCTCCTCCTCCTCCTCCTCCTTGCTCAAGCCTGGGTGGGGCGCGACAGAGAACGAGAGCGCACGGAGGCCGCAGGTGAGTCGTGCACACGTGCAATCCCCGCCAGGGGCTCTCGTGCCGCACACGCCTAGCACGATGCCCAGGAAGCCCCCAAACGGAGACCGCGCGGGAGACCGGGGAGTCAAGATGGCGTGCGCCCTCCTCCTCCTCCTCCTCCTCCTCCTCCTCTCCTCCTCCTGCTCCTCTCCTCCTCCTCCTCCTCCTCCTCCGCCTCCTCCTCCGCCCTCCCCGTCGTCCTCTTCCTCCTCCTCCTCCTCCTCCTCCTCCTCCTCCTCCTCCTCCTCCTCCTCCTTCTCCAGTATGAGCCCAGGAGTGTCCCATGGCGGGGTTCCTGGAAGTGACCCAGGAGCCCCAAAAGGTGGACCCAGCGAGCCCCCGAGAGGGGCCCAGGAAATTCCCAAGGGGGGCCCAAGAAGACCTCAAGCCGGGGCGACTACGGCCGCCTGGGCGGACAGATCCTGCCCCCCCCCAGGCACAAACAAAATCCTTCCCCCCCCCTCTGGCCTGCGTAGGTGGCCCCGAATCGGTCACGCAGCCGTTGCAAACGCGGCACCACATCTGGCCTACACAGGTGGCCCAAGAGGGGGGAACGTTGGCCACAGCCGTTCCAGGCGCGGCAACACGTGCCACCGTGCACTACAGGGTGCTGACACCAGATAGCTGGGCCCACCAACGGGGTTAAGGCGCCCCAAAGTCATATCACAGCAAGCCCTCCACCTCCTCCTCCAATTCCTCCTCCTCCTCCTCACCCACCTTCTCTCTCCTGATGGCTCCTCTTCCTCCCCCCTTTTCCTCCTCCTCCTCCTCCTCCTCCTCCTCCTCCCTCCTCCCTCCTCCCTCCTCCCTCCTCCCTCCTCCCTCCTCCCTCCTCCGCCTCCCTCCCTCCGCCTCCTCCTCCACCTCCTCCTCCCTCCTCCTCCTCCTCCTCCTCCCTCCTCCTCCTCCTCCTCCTCCCTCCTCCTTCTCCTGCTCCTTCTCTCCTCCTCCTCCGCCTCCTCCTCCTTCTCCTCCTCCTCCTCCCTCCTGCTCCTCCTCCCTCCCTCCTCCTCCTCCTCCCTCCTCCTCTCCTCCACCTCCTCCTCCCCTCCTCCTCCTCCTCCTCCTCCTCCTCCGCCGCCTCCTCCTCCTCCCAGAGAATCCGAGGCACCGCCTCCAGACGGCAGACGGCGCCCGGCGCACTCGGCCCAGGGAGGGCCCCTTGCGAGGAGAAGATCGCCGGGTGCTTCCAGAGGCAGAAGATGCTCGCCGACGAGAAGTTGCGGGCCGTGGCGTGCAAGGATTTGAGAAGGGGCTGGGGCGCAGGACGAGGGTGCCGGGGGGGGGGGCGTGAGGAGGGCGAGGAGGAGGATGGAGGGCGAGATGGAGAGGAGGAGGAGGAGGAGGAGGAGGAGGAGGAGGAGGACTAGGAGGCGGAGGAGGAGCAGGAGGAGCAAGAGGAGGAGGAGGAGGAGGACCAGTGTAGACTAGAGAGTCATCAACGATGTTGGAATAAACCCTCCCTCCAAGCTCCCTCTTCATAGGCCCCTACAACGGTTCGTTTCCACTGAGGGAGCTTCCTTGTTGTAAATCAACCGTTTGAAGACCTTGAAGCGTGCCAAAACATTGTTCTCGGGATTCCAACGCCACGCATCAACCTGACTGTTGCGTGTTGACGATCTTGAATCGTGCCAGAACGCCGTTCTTGGGATCAACACAGCGAATCAACGTAACTGTTGCGCCCTCATACTCCTGAATCCTTACACAACACCATTTCTGGTACGCTGATCATGCGGATCCGTGAAACTCTGGCAACTCTTGAAAGTAAAATAACGAATGTGCGCGGCGCCGAGGCGAGAGCCACATATTGAAAAGGAACCGCCCTCAATTCGTGTAGCTCTTGCATCTTTACAACGAGTGTACGCGGCGGTAATGCGATAACCACATTTTGCAAACGGCCTGCTCTTAATCCGTGAAGCTCCTGCACATTTTAATATCGAATGTGCGCCGCGCTAAAGCGCGAGCCACTGTTTGAAAACGGCCCGCCCTCAATCCGTGAAACTCTTGCATTTGTTTTATAACGAATGTGCGCGGCGCTAAGGCGAGAGTTACATGTCGAAGATGATTCGCTTTTCATGTGTGAGTCTGCTGTCATTTTCTGAGCTTCAAGGTCATAAGAGGTGAGGACGTCTCAAGCGAACCACCGCGCCCGCCCTAACAACTGGCTTCGGGGTGCGACAGGGATAAGTTGTCTATATACGAAAGGAATGGAGGCCGAAGAGGAAGAGGATGAGGAAGAGGAGGAGGATGAGGAAGAAGAGGAGGAGGAGAAGGAGGAGGAGGAGGACCAGGATCAGAGTAACCCCCAGACTCATCAAGGATGTTGGAAGATACTCCCCTCCAAGCTCCCCCTTTCATAGGCCCCTACAAAGGTTCACCGCCACTGAAGGAACTGCCTCGTTGGGAGACATCCGTTTGAAGACCGTGAAGCGTGCCAGAACACCACGCTCGGGACTCCCGAATAAACCTGACTGTTGCGTCTTGACGATCCAGAATCGCATAAAGAACGCTGCTTCTGGGACTTCAACACCGCGAATCAGCGTAACTGTCGCGCCCTCACAATCCAAAGTCCTTCCAAACACCATTTCTGGTACGTTGACCACGGGATCCCGTGAAACTCTTGCAACTGTTTGAGACGAGTGTGCGCGACGGTACGGGCGAGAACCACACGTTGAAAAGGAGATGCCTTCGATCCGTGAAACCCTCGCTAATGTGTCAAACGAATGTGCCAGGCGCTAAGGTGAGAACCACAAGTTCAACACCAACCGCCCTCAATCCGTGAGACCCCAGCTAATGTTTGAAGCGAGTGTGCGCGGCGCTAAGGCGAGAGCCACAGTTTGAAAACGGTCCGCCCTCAATCCGTGAAGCCGTTGTAGGTTTTTCAAACGAATGTGCGCGGCGCTAAGGCGAGAACGGCACTTTGAAAACGACACGCCTTCAATCCGTAAAGCTCTTGCGATTCTTCAATACCAGTGCGCGCGGCAATTAGGCGAGAGCTACATTTTGGAAACCACATGCCCTGAATGTGTAGAAGTGTTGTCAAATTCTAAGATGCCTTAGCTTCAGGGTCATAAGTGGTGAGCCGCCCGGCCCGCCCTTGCGACCGGCCTCGGCAAGCGACAGGGAATAGTTATCTAGACGGAAAAGGGACGGACGAGGAGGAGGAGGAGGATTAGGAGGAAAAGGTGGAGGACCAGAGTAACCCCAAGACTCGTCAACGATGTCGGGATGTACCCCCGTCCAAGCTCCCTCTTCATAGGCCCCTATAACAATCCATCACCACTGAAAGAACTGCCTCGTTGGAAGACAACCGTTTGAAGACATTGAAGCGTGCCAAAACACCACGCTCGGGACTCCCGAATCAATTTGGCTGTTGCGTCTTGACGATCCAGAATCGTGCCAGAACACCGTTCCTGGGACTTAAACACCGCGAGTCAGCGTCATTGTCGCGCCCTCACAATCCTGAGTCTTTCCTGAACACCATTTCTGGTACGTTGACAATGGGAACCCGTAAAACTCTTGCAATTGTTTAAGACGAGTATGCGCGGCGGTAAAGGCGAGAGCCACGTTTTGAAAAGGAGTTGCCTTCGATCCGTGAAGCTCTCGCTAAGGTGTGCAATGAATGTGCCCAGCGCTAAGGTGAGTTTGAAAACGACCCGCCTTCAATCCGCGAAGCCCGTACGATCTTGTAATACCAGCGTGCGCGGCGCTGGGGCGAGAGCCACGCGCTGGAAGTCACGCTCTCCATTTGTAAAATTGCTTCCAACCTATGAGATGTCTTAGCTTCAGGGTCACGAGTGGAGAGGAAGTCTCAGGCGAAGCGCCCGGCCCGCCCTTTCGACCGGCTTCAGGAAGCTACAGGGAGGAATTATGTATACGGAAAAGGACTGAAGGACGAGGAGGAGGAGGAGGAGGAGGAAGAGGAGGAAGAGGAGGAGGAGGAGGAGGAGGAGGAGGAGGAGGAGGAGGAGGAGGGAGGTGGAGGAGGCGGAAAAGGAGGAGGACGGGGAGGAGGAGGGACGGGGGAGGAGAAGGATGAGTATTAGGAGGATTAGGGGGATTAGGATGATTAGGAGGATGATAATGGTTAGGAGGAAGATGAGGAAGATGAGGAGAAGCAGGAGGAGGAGGATCAGGAGGTTCACGAGGATGATCAGGAGGATCAGGACGATTAGGAGGAGGAGGCGGAGGAGGAGGAGGAGCAGGAGGAGGAGGAGGAGGAGGAGGAGGAGTGGGAGGAGGAGGAGGAGGAGGAGGAGGAGGAGGAGGAGGTAGGAGGAGAAGGAGGAGGAGGAGGAGGACGAAGGGAGGAGGAGAAGGAGGAGGAGAAGGAGGAGGAGAGGAGGGGGAGGGAAAAGGGAGGAGGAGGCAGGAGGATGGAGGAGGATGGAGGAGGATGGAGGAGGAAAGAGGAGGAGGAAAGGGAGGAGGGAGGAGGAGGGGAGGATGAGGGAGGAGGAGGGGAGGAGGGGAGGAGGAGGAGGAGGGAGGAGGAGGAGGAGGAGGGAGAGAAGGGTTCTAGGAGGGAGGCGGGAGGAGGCAGGGAGGGAGAGAGGGAGGGAGGGGTGGCGAAGGAGAAGGAAGAGGAGGAGGAGGAGGAAGGAAGAGGAGAGGAAGAGGAGGGAGCAGGGAGGAGCAGGAGGAGGAGGAGGAGCAGGAGGAGGAGGAGGAGTAGCAGGAGGAGGACGAGGAGGAGGAGGAGGAGGAGCAGGAGGAGCAGGAGGAGCAGGAGGAGGAGGAGGGAGGATTAGGAGCATAGGAAGCATTAGGATAATTAGGAGGAGAATGAGGATTAGGAGGAGGAGGATGGAGGAGGAGGAGGAGTATGGAGGAAGATGGAGGGGGATGGAGGGGGATGGAGGAGGAGGGAGGAGGAGGGAGGAGGAGGGAGGAGGAGGGAGGAGGAGGGAGAAGGAGGGAGGAGGAGGGAGGAGGGAAGAAGGGAGGAGGATGAGGAGGAGAAGGGAGGGAGGGAGGAGGGAAGAGGAGGAGGAAGGAGGAGGAGGAGGAGGAGGAGGCGGGACGAGGCAGTCGAGGAGGAAGGGAGAGAGGGAGGGAGGTAGGTAAGGAGGAGGAAAGAGGAGGATAACAGGAGGAGGAGGAGGAGGAGGAGGAGGAGGAAGAGGACGAGGACGAGGAGGAGGAGGTGGAGCAGGAGGAGGAGGAGGAGGAGAAGGATTAAGAGCATTCGGAGCATCAGGAGGATTAGGAGGATAATGATGATTAGGAGGAGGAGGAGGAGGAGGAGGACGAGGACGAGGAGGAGGAGGTGGAGCAGGAGGAGGAGGAGGAGGAGAAGGATTAAGAGCATTCGGAGCATCAGGAGGATTAGGAGGATAATGATGATTAGGAGGAGGAGGAGGAGGAGGAGGAGGAGGAGGAGGAGGATCAAGGAGGAGGAAGAGGAGGAGGAGGAGACGGAGGGTTGAGGAGGAGGAGGAGAAGGGGGAGGTTTGTGAGGACCAGTTTGAACCTGATAGTCATGCACGATGTTGGAGTAAACCCTCCCTCCAAGCTCCCTCTTCATAGGCCCCCACAACGGTTCATTTCCATGGAGGGAACTGCCTCGTTCGAAGACATTCGTTTGAAGACCCTGAAGCATGCCACAACATGGTTCTCGGGATTCGAGCGCCGCGGATGAACCTGACTGTAGCGCCTTGACGATCCTGAATCGTTCCAGAACGCCAGTCCTCGGTTGCACCCGCATACTTCTGAATCCGTTCAAAGCACCATTTCTGATACATACGTTGATGATTGGAATCCGTGGAACCCTTGCAACTTTTGTAAACGAATGTGCGCCGTGCTAAGGCGAGAGCCACATGTTGAAAAGGAACCGCCCTCGATCCGTGAAGCTCGTGAGGGGTGGTAAACAATGGCCCTCCCAATGGCCAGAATGGGAGCCTGCGACACCTCGCGATCCCTCCCACAAAACCTCAGGGATGGGGAGGGGGAGGGTTCCCCTCCCCGAAGGGAAGAGGTGTTGTGGAAGAGGCAAGGGACCCTCCTTAGACCACCTGTCGCTCAAACGCTGGTGGGATACCTCCTTCCTGCAGCACCCAGAAGCTGGTCGAAAGGGCCGGCCAGGAGTTTCGCTTGAGATTTCCTCACCATTTATGACCTTGAAGCTTAAACATTGGCACCAGTTGCACAGATGGAGGGCGGGTCGCTTCCAACATGTGGCTCTCGCCTTAGCGCCGCGCACATTCGTCTTGAAACATGGCAAGAGTTTCAAGGATTGAGGGCGTGCCCGTTTTCATCATGTGGTTCTCGTTGTAGCGCCGCGCACATTCGAATAAACAAGTTGCAAGAGTTTCGCTGGTTGAGAGCGGTTGGTTTTCAAACTGTGACCCTCGCTTTAGCGCCGCGCACACTCGCTTCAGACATTGCAAGTGTTTCAAGGATTCCCACTGCCAACGTACCAGAAAGTGTGCTCTGGAAGGGCTCAGGATTGTGAGGGTGCAGCAGCTATGTAGCTTCGCGGTATTGAACCCCCGGATTGGTTCTCCTGGCACGACTCGGGATCGGCAAGACGCAGCAGCCAGGCTGTTCCGAGGCGTTGGAGTCCCGACTATGGTGTTTTGGTGCGCTTCAAGGTCTTCAAACGGGTTGTCTCCCAATGAGGCAGTTCCCTCAGTGGAGATGAACCCTTGTAGGGGCCTATGAAGAGGGAGTTTGGAGGAATGGTCGATTTCAGCATCGTCGATGAGCCTCGGGTTCGCACTGGTCCTCCTCGTCCTCCTCGTCGTCCCCCTCCTCCTCCACCTCCTCCTCCTCCTCCTCCTCCTCCTCCTCCTCCTCCTGCTCGTTGGGGAGGGGCTGGAGGAGAGCGCGCACACCGCCCTCGACATCGTCGGTGGCGAGGAGAGGCGCCAGCAGCAGGAGGTGGAGGCCCCTGCGCCCGCCGCCCGCTCGCCGTCCTTGTGAAGCGCACGTGCAGGGCGAGCAGGAGGGAGGAGAGGGGAGGGAGTAGGAAGAGGAGGGAGGAGGGAACAGTGAGGAGGGATGAGGGGTGAGGCAGGGGAGGTGAGGGAGGAGGGAGGGGGAGGGAGGGAGGGATGGGAGGGAGGGGGAGGGGGGGCGGGAGGGAGGGAGGGAGGGAGGAGGGAGGGAGGGAGGTATGGAGGGAGGGAGGGAGGGATGGGAAGGCGGGAGGTAGGGAGGGAGGGAGGGATGGAGGAGGGAGGAGGAGGAGGAGGAGAGGAGGAGGAGGAGGACGGGGAGGAGGAGGAGGAGGAGGAGGAGGAGGAGGAGGAGGAGAAGGAGGTGGAGGAAGAGGAGGAGGAAGAGGAGGAGGAGGAGAAACCCACGTGCCCACGTGCCCGCTGTTGCTGCAATACGCCTTGCCATTCTCGTATCCCTCAGCCTGCATCTTAACTGCGGAGTGCTATTGTTATTTTATCCTTATAGTCGGCTTATCTTACTCAGGTTCAGGCTTACATCCAGACCCCTCTCTAGCCATTGCGTCCACTCTTCGCACGTTCTCTTTTATTGCATCTTGCCTACCGAGGCGGCACTACCACTGAAAAGTAATTGGCTTAGCTATCACATGATACCGGAGATGGGTGAGTTTACCTTACTAAGATTAGTGCCGTCCTGGGCGTTTTCTGTTTTGACAATTCTCGTCTCGGCCTTATGTTCCTTCAGTTTCCGCGGTGCCCGCCAGGTGCATCGTGCGCCGAATCGTATGCACTTTCGTGATTTTCGCACCCTCGCTCAAGACCGCTACAGGCTTGTTCCTCTAGTCGGGCTAGCTAACTATAGAGGAGGAGGAGGAACAGGAGGAGCAGGAGCAGGAGGAGGAGTAGGAGGAGGAGGAGGAACAGGAGGAGGAGGAGGAGGAGGAACAGGAGGAGGAGGAGGAGGTGGAGGAGGAGAAGGAGGACCCGTGCAAACCCAGAAATCATCAACGATGTTGAAATTAACCCTCCCTCCAAGCTCCCTCTTCATAGGCCCCTTACAACGGCTCATCTCTATTGAGGGAGCTGCCTCGTTAGAAGACAACCGTTTGAAAACCTTGAGGCATGTCAAAACATTGTTCTCGGGATCCTCCACGCCACGGACCAACCTGACTGCTTCGTCTGGACGATTTGGAATCGTGCCATAACGCCGATTTGGGGGATTTTAGCATCGCGAATCAACGTAACCGCTGCGTCCGCATAATCCTGAACCCCAGAAACAAAAAAAACACAATTTCTGGCGCGATGATGATTGGAACCCGTGAAATTCTTGCAACATTGTAAGACGAATGTGCGCTGCGCCAAGGCGAGAGCCAAATGTTGAAAAGGAGCCGCCCTCCATCCGAGAAGCGGTTGCCTTTTTTCGAACGAATGTGCGCGGCGCTAAGACGAGAGACACATGTTGAAGACGACCCGCCCTTACTCCGTGAAGCTTTTGCAACTATTTAAACCGAATGTGTGCGGCGCTAGGGCGAGCGCCACATTTTGAAAACCACCCGCCCTGCTTCAGAGTCATAAGTGGTGAGGAAGTCTCAGGCGAAACGCCGCCTCGGGGTGCGACAGGGAACAGTTGTTTATCTGAAAAAGGAATCGAGGAGGAGGAGGAGGAGGAAGAGGAGGGGGGGAGGGGGAGGAGGAGGAGGAGGAGGAGGAGGAGGAGGAGGGAGGAGGAAGGAGGAGGAGGAGGAGGAGGAGGAGGAGGAGGAGGAGGAGGAGAGGAGGAGGAGGAGGGGGGGGAGGAGGGAGGGAGGGAGGGAGGGAGGGAGGGAGGGAGGAGGGAGGGAGGGACGTAGGTAGGGAGGGAGGGAGGGAGGGAGGGAAGAAGGGAAGGAGGAGGAGGAGTTTGAGGAGGAGGAGGAGGAGGAGGAGGCGGCGGAGGGGGAGGAAGAGGAAGGTGGAGGGGAGGAGAAGAGGAGGAGGCGGAGGAGGAGCAGGAGGACTTCACCTGCCGCTCCATCCAGGACGTACTACCCCACCTCCCCTCGGAGGATCCGCAATGGATGCGGAGAAGTGGGCACGAAGACCAACAGCAGCTCCTTTCCATTTTGAACCAGAATCGCTGTCGGTGTCGTCGCGGGCGTTGTCCATTTGAGACGAGGGAAGCGCCTGCCCAACTGGCCGCTGTCGTTTGCGGACGGAGCTTGCTGCTGGGCATCGCGCCCACGTCTCCGTGGCCCACTTCGGGCGCACAGCTCCCCCCCGCAGGCCACGCTCGCGCAGCCAGCCGCGCGCCGCTCCGCCACCTCGCCCCGCCTGCCGCCCTGCCCACGCCCGCCGCGCGCCGCGTTCCCTTCGCTCGCCTCGGAGCCTGCCGGGAGAGGCGGGGGAGCGGACCTCGGGGAAAGCGGGAGGGCCTGCTGGGAGAGCGGGGGGGCCCGCCGCCGCCGGGCGGGCGCGGGCCCCGCTGCTCCCCTCGAGGACAGGCGCGCGCCAGGGCGGAGTTCCCCCCCGCGGCGGCCTGCTGGAGCCTCTGGCCTGTCCTGCCAGCACGTTCCTCCAATAAGGCGTTGCCCGCAGGCGTTGGCAGAGGTCCTGGGCAGCGCCTCCGAGACTCGCGGGCCGCACCTGGGCAGCTCTCGGGCAGCTCGCGCAGCTTCTTCGAAGCGTCGGATCCCCCCCCCCCCTCCGCTTCCCCTCGTCATCCTCCTCTTCCTCCTCCTCCTCATTCTTCTCACTCCTCCTCCTCCTCCTCATCCTCCTCCCTCCTCCTCCTCCTCCTCCTCTCCCCCTCCCCCTCCTCCTCCTCCCTCCTCCTCTCCTCCTCCTCCTCCTCCTCTGCTCCTGCTCCCCCTCCTCCTCGACACGGGCTCCGAGCCTGGCCCCGCCAGGCGCAGAGCACGCGGGCGACGAGCCCCCGCCTGCCCTGCCGCTCCTCTGGCGGCCTCGTCCCCGCCGCGGCGTTCGGCCCTCCTCCCCACGCGAGGAGGAGGAGGAGAGAGGCGGAGGAGGAGGAGGAGGAGAGGATGAGGAGGAGGAGGAGGAGGAGAGGAGGAGGAGGAGGAGGAGAGGAGGAAGGAGGAGGAGGAGAGGAGGAGGAGGAGGAGGAGGAGGAAGGAGGAGTAGGAGGAGGCAGAGGAGGATGAGGAGGAGGAGGAGGGAGGAGGAGAGGAGAGGCGGAGGAAGGAGGATGAGGAGGAGGAGGAGGGAGGGAGGGAGGGAGGGAGTAGGGAGGGAGGGAGGGAGGGAGGGAGGGAGGGAGGGAGGGAGGGAGGGAGGGAGGGAGGGAGGGAGGGAGGGAGGGAGGAGGAGGGAGGGAGGGGAGGGAGGGAGGGGAGGGAGGGAGGGAGGGAGGGAGGGAGGGAGGGAGGGAGGGGGCTCTCCAGGAGAGCCCTCGCCCTCGGCGCATCCGGACCCTCCGCGGCAGGCCGGCGGTGGCCGGCCCCCCCTCGGCCCCCCCTCTTTCTCGGTCTTGGGGGGGCCGAGGCGGCTGCCTTTGTCGGTGCCACCCCTACAGGGGCGAGGGTGCTCACGGGTAGGATTTTGGAGTCGAAGCCCAGCATGCTGGTCCTCGTGCCTTTGCCCCGAGGCATCCTCAGAGATATGGAGGGACCGAGGCGGCTGCCTTTGTCGGTGCCACCCCTACAGGGGCGAGGGTGCTCAGGGGTAGGATTTTGGAGTCGAAGCCCAGCATGCTGGTCCTCGTGCCTTTGTCCCGAGGCATCCTCAGGGATATCCGTATCGGTAGGCCTCTGGGCTGGCCCACCGCAGAACTCACAGCTGACCGTTCGAGGGAGCAGCGACCTAAAGCAGGAAGGCCAGCGGACGCAAGCCGGCGGTGGGCCCGTGGAAGCCAGCCGAAGGCGGCGGAATTGAAAGTGACACGTACATTTTTGGGAAGCGTTTTTACCTAACAGCTTTTGCTGATAGGTTTCTAGTGGGATCAAAAGAGAGCATCTTGACGCCCAAGGGGGTTCTGGGCGGGATCCGGACAAGGAACCGGACAAAAGGGTCAGCCCCAGGAATCCTTAGGAATCTTTAGATTTTTTAGGAATGCTTAGGAATCCATTCCCAGAACACCATTCCCAGGCCACATTTTGAATGCCCGGAGCCAGCTGTAGGCCACTTCGTGTTCTTCATGTTCCCAGAACATCATTCCCAGGCCACATTTTGAATGCTTGGAGCCAACTGTAGGCCACTTCGTGTTCTTCGTCTTCCCAGAACACCATTCCCAGGCCACATTTTGAATGCTTGGGGCCAACTGTAGGCCACTTCGTGTTCTTCGTTTTCCCAGAACACATTTCCCGGGCCACATTTAGAATGCCCGAAACCAACTGTAGGCCACTTCGTGTTCCTCGTGTTCCTTGAACACCATTCCTGTACCATATTTTGATTGCCCGGAGCCAACTGTAGGCCACTTCGTGTTCTTCGTCTTCCCAGAATACCATTCCCAGGCCACATTCTGAATGCTTGGAGCCAACTGTAGGCCACTTCCTGTTCTTCGAGTTCCCAGAACACCATTCCTGTACCATACTATACTTTGATTGCCCGGAGCCAACCGTAGGCCACTTCGTGATCTTCGTGCCCCCAGAACACCAGTCCTGTGCCATATTTTGAATGCCCGAGCTGAGGCAGGCTGAGGCCGAGGCAGGCTGAGGCCAAGGCGGGCTGAGGCTGGACTGAGGCACGCCGAGGCAGGCTGAGGCTGAGGCTGAGGCAGGCTGAGGCTGAGGCAGGCTGAGGCTGAGGCTGACGCAGGCTGAGGCCGAGGCAGGCTGAGGCTGAGGCTGAGGCAGGCTGAGGCTGAGGCAGGCTGAGACAGGCTGAGGCAGGCTGAGGCTGAGGCTGAGGCTGATTGAGGCTGAGGCTGAGAGGCTGAGGCTGAGGCAGGCTGAGGCTGAGGCTGAGGCAAGCCGGGCAGGCTGAGGCTGAAGCTGGGGCAGGCTTGAGGCTGTGGCCTGGGCTGTGGCCGAGGCCGAGGCAAGCGGCGCTGAGGCGGCTGAGGCTGAGGCTGAGGCAGGCTGATGCTGAGGCAGGCTGAGGCTGAGGCTGAGGCTGAGGGCTGAGGCTGAGGCAGGCTGAGGCTGAGGCCGAGGCTGAAGGCAGACTGATGCTGAGGCTGAGGCTGAGGCTGAGGCTGAGGCAGGCTGAGGCTGAGGCAGGCTGAGGCAGGCCGAGGCAGGCTCAGGCCGAGACAGGCTGAGGCTGACTGAGGCTGAGACTGAGGCTGAGGCTGAGGATGAGGCCGAGGCAGGCCGAAGCTGAGACAAGGTGAGGCTGAATGGGGGGGGGGGAAGGGGGGGGGAGGAGGGGAGGCTGAGGCAGGCTGAGGCCGAGGCAGGCTGAGGCTGAGGCTGAGGCTGAGGCTGAGGCAGGCTGAGGCTGAGGCAGGCTGAGGCTGAGGCTGACGCAGGCTGAGGCCGAGGCAGGCTGAGGCTGAGGCTGAGGCAGGCTGAGGCTGAGGCCGAGGCAGGCTGAGGCTGAGGCTCAGGCTGAGGCAAGCGGGGGCAGGCTGAGGCTGAGGCTGAGGCTGAGGCAGGCTGAGGCATCCGTAGGAATCCCTCGGAATCCTTAGGAATCCGTAGGCATCCTTAAGAATCCGTAGGCATAATTTAGCATCCTCAGGTTCCTTAGGAATCCTTAGGATTCCCTAGTAATCCTTAGGATTCCATAGGAATCCATAGGAATCAGGATTCCTAAGGACTCCTATGGATTCCTAAGGATGCCTAAGGATGCCTTAAGAATCCCCAGGAATCCTTAGGATTCCATTGGATCCTGAGGCCGTTGCCACTGCGACTGTCATTGCGAATGCGACTGCGACTGCGAGAACAGCAGAATTCTACAATCGGATTCTCACCTGAATCTTAACGGGAATGCTTCCAGATATGCTTATACACATCGCTGTCAGGTTACTTCGCCGGGATAGTTTGTTGGTTTTCCGGAGTCGTCCACATGTTCCTTTCCAGCGCAGCCACCGTACTCTTCGTACTCGAGGTTAACTTTACTGCCCCCCAGGCGGCATTGCCCGCCTGGTTGGGCGGGGGGAGGGCCCTCATTCCCAGGCGAATTTGACGCAGCCCGCGTTGTACTGGCGCAAACGTGAGGACGACGAGGAGACAGAGGACGATGATGCCGAGGACGAGGACCAACAGGGGGATGATGATCATGATCATGATGATGATGATGATGATGATGCTGATGATGATGATGATGATGATGATGATGATGATGATGATGCTGATGATGATGATGATGATGATGAGGAGGAGGAGGAGGATGATGATGCTGATGATGCTGATGCTGATGATGCTGATGCTGATGATGCTGATGATGATGCTGATGATGATGATGGTGTTGGTGGTGATGATGATGACGATGATGATGATGCTGATGATGATGATGATGGTGGTGGTGTGATAATGATGCTGATGATGATGCTGATGATGATGATGATGCTGCTGATGCTGATGCTGATGCTGATGATGCTGATGCTGATGATGCTGATGATGCTGATGATGATGATGATGATAATACTGATGATGCTGATGATGCAGACGATGATGATGCTGATCATGATGATTACGATGAGGATGAGGATGAGGATGAGGATGAGGATGAGGATGAGGATGAGGATGAGGATGAGGATGAGGATGATGCTGCTGCTGATGATGATGTTGATGATGCTGCTGCTGCTGATGATGATGATGATGATGATGATGATGATGATGATGATGATGTTTGTGATGGTGGTGGTGGTGGTGGTGGTGGTGGTGAGGAGGAGGAGGAGGAGGAGGAGGAGGAGGACGAGGTCGAGGAGGAGGAGGTGGAGGATGCGGAGGCGGAGGCGGAGGAGGAGGAGGAGGAGGCGGAGGAGGAGGAGGAGGAGGCGGAGGAGGAGGCGGAGTAGGAGTAGGAGGAGGAGGCGGAGGAGGAGGAGGAGCACGAGGGGCACGAGGAGCACGAGGGCAAGGACGACACGGACGTCGCTTTGGGGGCGGCGGCGGGGGGCCAGCCCGCGCGCCCGCGCCCGCGGCGCAGAGGTACAGCTGCGGCGCCGGCGGCTGGAGCTGCGGCGCGCGCCCTTGCTGCTGCTGCTGCTGCTGGTGTTGCTGTTGAACATTATTAATTCTAAAGAATAATTATTGTTGGGCCCCCTGGTGCGCGCCCCCCCCGCCGCGCCTAGGCCGCAGCCACGTTTTCATCATTTTCGTGAGGAAGCCTCAGGTAATTCGAGTTGATCAAGATCCGGTTGTTTTGTTGTAATCCGTTTTCCCTTGCAAAAAAACACTATAAAATGACATTTCTTGTTCTAATATAATCAAATTTCAAGAATCCCTTGCAAAAAATAAGGTAAAGTGGACATTCGCGCGCGCAAGACGAAATCCTTCCAAAAGCTTAGTGTTCGGAACGATTTTAACATAAAAACATCAAAAAAACCAATGGTTTTTCAACAAAAAAATGTCAAAATCTCATCCCGCGCGCTCTTGCGGATTCGTAGGAAACCCAACACTTTTTAAACATTTCTGTCAAACGGGCTTTTGCGAGCAACTTTTTCGAACTTCTGCGACAACGGTTGCGCACCTGCCAGGGCCATCATCCCTGTCAAATAATACCATGCGGGACACATTCGTCTCTCTGTATTATGTATTGTATGGCACAATTGCACCATGCTGGGCACATGCGCGCCCCGAATAAGTGACCAAGTTCTGTGGGTGTGTACCCCACGCCAGTGTAGTAGCCACGGTCGTCCGCACGCCACGAAGTGAAGTGTCCCAACGTCATAGGGCGGGAAGCTGGGTTTGGGTGGTCGCGAAGAGTCGTTTGGATATTTGGCAGAGCTTGTAATGCCCCCCCACGAAGTGGGGGTATTGCCTGGTGTCGTATGAAAACCCTGGCACTGGGGAGAACACCACGCGTTCGGGTAAAATGATTGTTGTTGTTGTTGTTGTTGTTGTTGTTGTTGCTATTGCTATTGCTGTTGCTGTTGCTGTTGCTGTTGCTGTTGCTGTTGCTGTTGCTGTGTTGTTGTTGTTGTTGTTGTTGATGTTGTTGTTGCCTTTTGTCTTTGGTGTTGTTGTTGTTGTTGTTGCTGTTGCTGTTGCTATTGCTGTTGTTGTTGTTGTTGGAAAAGGCGTACGTGGGAGCCCCAGCCGCCCCCCCCCCCCTCCCCAAGCAACCGAGCAACCGAGCAACCCTCTCTGGGGGTCTCCTGGGGGCGCCAAGGATTCCCGAATAGGATTTCCTAGGAAGTCTATAGGCTTCCATAGGAATTCTATAGACCTCCCTAGGAATTCTATAGGCCACCATCGGAATTTTATAGGCCTCCATAGGAATTCTACAGGCCCCCCATGGGAAATTCTATAGGCCTCCATAGGAATTCGATGGGCCTCCATAGGAATCCTATAGGTCGCCATAGGAATTCTATATAAGCCCCCATAGAAATTTTATCGGCCCCCATCGGAATTTTATCGGCCTCCATAGGAATTCTATAGGCCTCCGTAGGAATTCTATAACCCCCGTCGTCGTCGTCGCCGTCGTCGTCGTCGTCGTCGCGGCCGTCGTCGTTGTCGTCGTCGTCGTCGGTTTCGTCGCCCCGCCACCGTGCGCCACCTGACGTGCCCGCCCGGTGGGAGGGGCAGGGAGATAGAGGGACATTGGCGGGGCGGAGGACGAGGCCGCCGACGACGACAATGACAATGATAATGATGGTGATGATGACGACGACGATGATGATGATGAGGATGCGGATGAGGATGCTGATGATGATGATGAGGATGATGATGATGGTGATGATGAGGATGACGTGGATGAGGATGCTGATGACGATGATGATGATGACGACGACTACGATGATGATTGTGATGATGACGACGATGATGATGATGATGATGATAGGGATGGCGATGATGAGGACGACGTGGATGAGGATGATGACGATGATGGTGCTGATGATGAGTAGGACAATGTGGACGATGAGTAAGACGAGGTGGACGATGATGATGAGTAAGACGAGGTACAGTCTGTATCGGATTTGTATAGGATCCCATACAGTCTGTATTGGATATCTACAGGATCCTATACAGTCTGTATCGGATCTCTATAGGATCCTATACAGTCTGTATCAGATCTCTACATGATCCCATACAGTCTGTATCGGATCTGTATAGGATCCTATACAGTCTGTATCGGATCTGTATCGGATCGTACACAGTGTGTATCGGATCTCTACAGGATCCCATACAGTCTGCATCGGATCTGTATAGGATCCCATACAGTCTGTATCGGATCTCTACTGGATCCCATACAGTCTGTATCGGATCTCTACAGGATCCCATACAGTCTGTGTCGGATCTGTACAGGGTCCTATACAGTCTGTATCGGATCTCTACAGGATCCCATACAGTCTGTTTCTGATCTATATAGGGTCCTATACAGTCTGTATCGGATCTCTACAGGGTCCCATACAGTCTGTGTCGGATCTGTACAGGATCCTATACAGTCTGTATCGGGTCTCTTCAAGATGCCATACAGTCTGTATCGGATTTGTATAGGATCCTATACAGTCTGTATCAGATCTACAGGATCCCATACAGTCTGTATCGGATCTGTATAGGATCCTATACAGTCTGTATCGGATCTCTACAGGATCCCGTACAGTCTGTATCGGATCTCTACAGAATCCCATACAGTCTGTATCGGATCTGTATAGGATCTTGTACAGTCTGTGATGATGGCGACGATGATGATGGTGATGATGATGATGGGGATGGTGATGATGAGGACGACGTGGATAAGGATGATGACGATGATGATGATGAGTAGGACGAGGTGGACGATGATGCTGATGAAGAGTAGGACGAGGTGGACGATGAGTAAGACGAGGTGGATGATGATGATGAGTAAGACGAGGTACAGTCTGTATCGGATCTGTATAGGATCCCATACACTCTGTATTAGATCTCTACAGGATCCTATACAGTCTGTGTCGGATCTCTATCGGGTCCTATACAGTCCGTATCGGATCTCTACATGATCCCATACAGTCTGTATCGGATCTTGATAGGATCCTGTACAGTCTGTATTGGAGCTTTACAGGATCTTATGCAGTGTGTATCCGATCTCTACAGGATCCCATACAGTCTGTATCGGATCTATATAGGATCTTATACAGTCTGTATCGGATCTCTACATGATCCCATACGGTCTGTGTCGGATCTCTACAGGATCCCATACAGTGTGTATTGGATCTACAGGATCTCATACAGTCTGTATCGGATCTCTACAGGATCCCATACAGTGTAGACCGGATCAGTATAAGATTCTCTACAGGATCCCACACAGTCTAGATCGAATTTTAATAGGATCTTATACAGACTGTATCGGATCTCTACAGGATCCCGTACAATCTGTGTCGGATCTGTACAGGGTCCTATACAGTCTGTATCGGATCTCTACAGGATCCCATACAGTCTGTGTCGGATCTGTATAGGATCCTATACAGTCTGTGTCGGATCTTCACGGGATCCCATACAGTCTGTATCGGATCTGTATCGGATCCCATACAGTCTGTATCGGATCTGTATAGGATCCTATACCGTCTGTGATGATGACGACGATGATGATGATGATGATGATGATGGGGATTGTGATGATGAGGACGACGTGGATGAGGGTGATGACGATGATGGTGCTGATGAGTAAGACGAGGTGGACGGTGATGCTGATGATGAGTATGACGAGGTGGACGATGAGTAAGACGAGGTGGATGATGATGGTGAGTAAGACGAGGTACAGTCTGTGTCGGATATGTATAGGATCCCATACAGTCTGTCTTGGATCTCTACAGGATCCCATACAGTTTGTTTCGGATCTCTGCAGGATCCTACACAGTCTGTATCGGATGTTTACAGGATCCCATACAGTCTGTACCGGGCTTGTATAGGATTCTATACGGTGTGTATCGGATCTCTACAGGATCCCATACAGTCGGTATCGGAAATGTATAGGGTCTTATACAGTCTGTATCGGATCTCTACAGGATCCCATACAGTCTGTATCGGATCTCTACAGGATCCCATACAGTCTGTATCGGATCTCTACAGGATCCCCTACAGTCTGTATCGGATCTCTACAGGGCCCCATACAGTCTAGATCGGATCTATATAGGGTCCTATACAGACTGTATCGGATCTCTACAGGTCCCCGACAGTCTAGATCGGATCTATATAGGATCCCATACAGTCTGTGTCGGATCTGTACAGGATCCTATACAGTCTGTATCGGGTCTGTTACAGGATCCCATACAGTCTGTATCGGATTTGTATCGGATCCTATACAGTTTGTATCGGATCTCTACGGGATCCCATACAGTTTGTATCGGATCTGTATAGGATCCCATACAGTTTGTATCGGATCTGTATAGGGTCCTATACAGTCTGTGATGTTGACGACGATGATGATGATGGGGATGGTGATGATGGGGACGACGTGGATGAGGAGATGACGATGATGGTGTTGATGAGTAAGACGAGGTGGACGATGATGCCGATGATGAGTATGGCAAGGTGGACGATGAGTAAGACGAGGTGGATGATGATGGTGAGTAAAAGCGAGGTACAGTCTGTATCGGATCTCTACAGGATCCCATACAGTCTGTATTGGATCTCTACAGGATCCGATACAGTCTGCATCGGATCTTTATAGGGTCCCATACAGTCTGTATCGGATCTCTACAGGACCCCATACAGTCTGTATCGGATCTCTACAGGATCCCATACAGTCTGTATCGGATCTCTACAGGGCCCCATACAGTCTAGATCGGATCTATATAGGATCCTATACAGACTGTATCGGATCTCTACAGGTCCCCGACAGTTTAGATCGGATCTCTACAGGATCCCATACAGTGTGTATTGGATCTCTACAGGATCCCATACAGTCTGTATCGGGTCTGTTACAGGATCCCATACAGTCTGTATCGGATCTCTACAGGACCCCTACAGTCTAGATCGGATCTATATAGGATCCTATACAGACTGTATCGGATCTCTACAGGATCCCATACAATCTAGATCGGATTTATATAGGATCCTA